GATCACATAAATAAATTTAATTAAATAATTTATAAATTAAATATATATTTTTTATTTTTTTAATATTTTTAACATGTATCCTGAGTTACAAAAATCCGAAAACTAAAACAGTAAAACTTTCCCAAACTGGTAAACTTTTGTAGTCCTTATTTACCAAAAAGAAGAAAAACAAACTTTTATGACACTTATATTCCCGATAGGAACTTTTATTGTACTTTGGGCCCCACAATAAAGATTTCGTTTGCGTGGTGGCACGATGCTCCTGACAGAGATCCACTGATTGACAAATGCAGGATTGAACTAACTGCCTCCGTATTCCTTGAAAGCGAAAACCTGGACCATGAAAAGTCATGAAAAGGATCAGGTCACGTCAGGTCCGATTTATGCCATCAAGAGATTTACTGGAAACCCTAGTAAATGAATTTCACTAAAAAAAAAAAAGAGTATTGTTCGTCTCTGATCTCCCCCCACTCCCAACTCCAGCATCTCCAATCTCCCCCTCTCCCAATTCCGGCGTCGCGATCTCCACCGTCTCCGGCGATGAACTCTCCAACGGCAATCTTCTTCCTATCCCTGCTAATCCCGGTCCTCTTCCCCACAGCTGCGACAGCTGCTGCCCCGTCTGTTGCCTCGTTGACTTCTTCATCAGGTACTAATCCATTCTTATTCTCTACTAAATGGTTGCTGAATCAATCAATTCTGTTTTTAGAGTTTATTATAATTTTTGAGGAGCTTGTCATAACCAAGACTTGGAGGTTTAACAAATAGAAAAGCAGCATAAGACACAAATGAGTTAGTGGATCTAGGATCAATTAGTACTTTAGGTATTCCATTGGAGATAGAAATTTTACCTCTTTTTTTCATCAGCTTGATCCTCACTGCAATATCTTGTTAAATGTCTTGGCTTCCCACACGGGAAGCATGCACCCCTTTTCTTGTAACAGTCTTTGCCTTACGTTTCTGATGGCACACTTTGAATTCCGGAGCTTCTACTTTATTGATGAACACCCCCTTTCTTTTACCCTTCTGCTCAACCCTCTTATTCTGAGGTTGGATGTGGTTGATGAATGCTTTACCTTTGCCTCCCTGTTCAGTAATCACTTTGAATATCTGTTCTAGATCCTGTATCCACTCATTGGCATCTTTGGTGTCTTGTGTACCCCTAAAGGTAGGTGGGTGCCATTTCTGAAATTGCTTCAGTTTGGCTTGATATTCAGGATCCTCCTCAAACAATTCAATCCCTCTCTGGATCCACATTCCCTCCAGATCAGTGGCGGAGCCAGGGGGGCGCTCGCCCCCCTGAAATTTGAAAATCTTGCAAATTGGTATATAAAAAATTATCTATCCTTCCCTGAACTTTGAAAATTTTAGTATTTTGCCCCCCCGAAAAAAATTTCTGCCTCCGCCCCTGCTCCTGATTGCCTCTGAACATTTTGTTGCTGGTTCACCTCTTACATTGCTTCTTGTACCATTTCCCTCATAATAGTTCATAATACATCCATAGAAATTGTCACCACTCCACCAGCACCAACATTCTGTTGTTGTTTATTAATTCTGGTGGCTCCTCTGCTACACGATCCACCTGCCCTGCATCATTAGATTACATAAAAGAGAAACAGAAATTGCATAATTAGTTAGTCAATCACCTGTCAACCAAACAAACTTGACTCTTAGCAAAACCCTTGGCTCTGATACCAAACAGGTAGTTTCCAAACACTGCTATAGACTCATAGCTGAAATTTCTGTTGGAATAGATTTCTATTCAAAAGTCAGCAAGTCTTGAGCTACATCTTACTGGTTCATAGAGAACATTCTTAAATTCAAAGCGTAACTAGCATATAAACCATAAGTTCCAGAATAGATTTTATATGCTTACAATCCACAAGCCTAGCTTGATTAAGATCCAGTCCCAGAGCTTAGTTACACAAACAGCATATTTACAAGACCAACAAAAGGTACAGTTCTTTAAGGTGACTAGCTTATTTACAACCAACTGTGAGCCATGACAAGGTTTTGGTTGGAGAACAAGTTTGTATTACCAACTCAGCTGCCAAGCTGTGTCTTTGGCCGGTTGGAGTACTCTTAGGCTGGTTGGAGGGATGCGACAACTCTCATGTAGCTCGTGAGCCCTAGCTGGGCAGGGCTAGTTCTCTTTAGATCGGGATTGAATCCAATTTTGGCTTGTTTCGTGACAGAGATAGCTTATCAGTGAAACTTTTAGTGAGAAAATAGTTGACACGGTGAGAAAGTTAATACGAACAACTCTAAAGTGTATCCATTATAAAGAAAATTGTAAAAATATTTTTACTTCATCAGAAGATGTGTGAGAGGTTGGAAGGGTTTAGGAAAGTGTACAGAAAGTTTGCCCTCTAACTAAACACCCCTGAAGGTTTCGTGTGGGGTGGAGTTTATCTGTCAAAGTTTGGGGTTTGAATAGGAAATCGCGAGTGTAGAATCTTGAATCAAATCCTCTGTCTGATTAAAATTAAATCAATGCTAATGGGTTTTCAGTTTCATTTCAGCCTTTTGCTTTCTGCAATTCTGACAATAATGACCTATCAATTGACCTTTGTTTTTATCTGTGGTT